AATGGGGATTTTTGCTACTGTAACATTCCTCCCTCTGAAGAGTTAACTCTAACATCTTTTAGGGATTCGATAAGAGCTCCCAAATACTTTTGACATTTTTGTCCTTTGGAACAGGGTATGTTGCTAAGAGGCCCAAGGACATTTTGACTTTTAGCCAAGAAACTGGCCACTTTTCTTTGGGGTCTTTTTTACCCTAACTGCCTAGCCAATTCTTACCTCCTATTCTTATCACACCATCCTCTGAAGAGGTTACCCAAATTGCCAATAGGGAATCAGGACACAGACTGCTCTGAATAGGAATGCAGGGTGAGGCAATTGGGGCACCCCTTTGGTGGGTCTATCTAAAAGATTCCCAAATTGCATAACTCTTATCTGTAAGGGGAAAAGAAAGTCCTTGATGGGTGACTAGAGGATGTGAAGGCGAAGTAAAGGCAAGAGTCGTTAGCATTACAAGTTATAGACAGGGAACCAGAAAAAAGTCAGAACAGGGCAAATTTCAAATGGTCATATCAGAGTCCATTGGAATTTTTTGACAAGAGCTTCCAAAAGCATCCCTCTATTGGGTTCCTCTTCATTTTTCTTTAATCTGCCATGGCTGGACTCAAGAGCAATGGATTCAGGATTTGCTTTCAGGTATTTTGATAGCTGTTGGAGTGGTTAGACTCAGTGTCAGTTCCCTCTCAAAGGCTTCTAGATAGGGGGAGAGAACAAATTTAGCCATCATTTTAGACCAATAGGGGGTTATCTCCCTTATTTGACTTTTTACGCTTAGCTGTTACCTATGTGTCATTTGTCCCCATCCCTTGTTTGTCTTCTGAAGAAGACAGCAAGGCACATGGCACTTCAGCTCTGATTTCTTTGTGTTTGTCTTTCCATTGGACAACCAACGTGAAAGTGGGAAAATTTTGGCTTTTCTATTTGCATATAGTTATTATTTACTGGGTACTCACAGTTTGTTTGTGTGTGTATGTGCATGTATGTCTATATACACTTGCCATGTCTCTCCCCAAATGGCTAGATTCTTAGATACTCAACACATAGTCCTACATACTTATTTTCAGCAACTGAATGTGGAGCAAAGTACCACAGAGCAGGAAATGAATTAATTGCCTTAAAAAATGAATGAATGAATGAATGAATGAATGACTTTTTTGTCTTGATTGGGCTGTCTTGGAGATTGTGGATCTTATGAAATCTGCTACTGTTTAATTTTGGACCTGGTCTAGGTAGACTGAGTATATACTCATATATAAACAAGTTTGTTACATCTGTACACTTTGGACTATATTCACTGTGTATTATGTCAATTTTTCCTTCTGATCCCTCCAGGACAGAACATTATATCATCCTGTGAGCAACAGCTGCATAGACTGCAACCCTGCAGAGAAGAAGATTTTTATGGCAAGATGTGACCCTCTATCTGAGACTCAGCAATGGATTTTTGAACACATCAATATGACTGTTTTAGAAAAAAATAGCCACCATGCCACCTCCTAGAAAGAAGGAAGGAAAGAAGAGCAGTTACCTACAGACTATGAACTGTACTTTAGCCAGCATCTGGGTCAAAGGAGTCAGGAATAACATTTCCTAGATCCAGGAAGCCTGGTTTAAAGATCTTTAAATGCCACGTCAAAGTAGGTTGCCCTGAAGAACTTCCTGCATCTGAAGAACTTGGCTGAGAACCCCACCAGCTGCTTCTGAGAGCTCGAGACTAGCAGTTCCCTTGCTGGCCAAGGGTGAAGTTTGTGTAAGGACTTTTCACCACAACTGCTGAGTTAATCAATCCTAGCATTTCTCAGGTCAAATCCTGCAGTAGTGAGTAGCTATGAATGGATCCTATTAGTCGGGTGGGAGGGGGGTGGAAACAGTGCATGACTGCTCTGTCAACCTGAGGCTACCACAGGTCTAGAACTACCACGCTTAAGGGGTGAGCTGTACTCTGGTGCCATTCTCTGACCAAGAATGGGTTAAGCAGGTTTAACCCTTAAAAGTGCTGCAGATGATTTTAGAGTGCTCCATACCATTCTGTTTTCCTTTGTGTCCTCTTAAAAAAGGTGCACTATCTAGACTTCCATCTCAGCCTCGTATTTACATTTGCCGTTATCCTTTCAGAGCCTATGTTACCCGTGCTTCATAAAAGTTCCATGTTCTGAAATCAGCCGAAGTTCTAATTCAGCACCCTTGGATGAATCCAGTTAAAAACAAAAATAAACAACTATGCTATCCAGTGACTCCAAAGAAAGATTTCACAGAAGCAGCAGAATACCATAAAGAGAGTTAGAAGAGAAATTTCCCTAGGAAATCTATTTTTACTTTTCTATTATTTTTAGAATTTTAAAAGTCTGATGTTTGTCCAGTCATAACTTTTATTGAAGAAGGCAGTGAAATGAGATGGATGTCATTTGTTTAGGCTGTTGAATAGATCTGCACTTCAAGTGACATGTAGAAATGACTTTGTTCACTTCAAATCTGTTTAATCTGGAAACCTAAAAGTGATTTTCCTTAATTATTAGTTTGAAGCTTTTTCCCTATTGTTGATAATAATAATGTTGTTTTATTTGGAAGCCCATAAAAGGAATTACCATTAATAAAATGCTTCTGACACCATTTTCTGTTAATGGGAAATATTTCAGGGGTAAAAAAAGGAATAACTCAAAAACTAATTGGAGTGAATAAAATAATTTGTCGCTTTTCAATAATGGTAGGGTGAGAAGAATGAACAGGCATCAAGATGAGTCTCTAGAGGACAAAAGATCACTTCCGCTGTGCATTTCTCAAGTTGTTTGGGGTACAGGATATTTCACACTGCTTTTATTATTTTTCTTTTAATTTAGTTTCTTTGTTAATAAAAATGTATACATCATTTTGAATATAGATAGGTGAATTTTAGGACTGGGAAGACTCAGAAGACCTAATCCATTTTTGTTGTTTTGTTTCTTTGTTTGCCTTTTGCTACACTTTGCTTGGATAAATAACAAAGCCCAGAGAGGCCCAGATTCTGGCAGGGCTTTTAACTCGGAAGGTTTTAATCACTAAATAACCTACTTTCCTCAGGATGTTCAAATGTTCAGAAACCTTGATATATATGAAACCTTTTCTTGTGAGTGTGCATGACTCTTTTTCCCCCTTTTGTCTTTTTGAGACAGGGTGTCTCTGTAGCCCCAGCTGACCTGGAACTTGCTATGTAGTCCAGGCTCTCCATGATCTCACAAGAGATCTGCCTGCCTCTGCCTCTGCCTCTGCTTCTCTAGCACTGGGACTAAAGGCATGCATCACCATGCCCACCTTCTTTTTCTGTCCTTAAAGCCTAATCAAAAGATGTAGTTAAGCTGCCCTGCCTATAGTTGGGGAAGAGTTGAGTTTCATTATCTTTTCTGGCTTTTCAAACATTCTTTTGAAGAGGTATTCTTTTTAAACTGACTATCACTAAGATGTTTTGTACAAGTCAAGAAATCTTGAAGCATTCAAGATGCATAGTGGAGAAAATCAATACTGATAAATTAACCCGTGTGTTGAATATTTCTAAGGAGGGAGCAAAGTTTCTCTCAAGTGTTCAAATAGCAATCTGGCTGGAGAATTGGATGGGCGTATAAAAATTCCCATTTTATCATTAAACAGTTGATTGCTATTTACGGTTGTACCAAAGAGACAAGCCTGGGTTTTACGCACCGGAAAGCCTAGATTTGTAACAGTCTCTTAGAATGCTACAGTCATGGCTGGCTAGTCAAACACTACCTTCTGAGAAAGTCTGAGTATTACATCATTTTAGAGGGACACACAGTGATCAACCAAAATTGGTCTCTCACTCTGAGTTTAAAAAAAATTTTAGGCCAGGTGTGGTGGCGCACACCTTTAATCCCAGCATTTGGGAGGCAGACACAGGCAGATCTTTGTGAGTTCAAGGCCAGCCTGGTCTACATAGTGAGTTCCAGGACAGCTGGGGCAACAGGGAGACCCTGTCTCAAAAAAACCAAAAAAAAAAAAAAATGTAGAAATGAAATTATTTTCTTCTTTAAAAAATGAAAGGAAGCTTGAGACATTAAATGCAAAATTGAAATTCAAACTATGAAGTAGTCATTGATTGTGCACACATGGGGAGCAAACAAACAGGATAAAATGGAACCTAAAGAATCTGCCCCAAGCAGGGGCACAGCAGTGCAGAAGAGCACACTGAAGGAAATGTTTCCAGGACCACTGAAGGTAGAGTCTACTTGCTCAAAATGTAATCTGACAAGTACAAAACAACATGTGGCTGCACTTTTTTTTTTTTTTTTTTTGGTTTTTTTGAGACAGGGCCTCCCTGTAGCCCCAGCTGTCCTGGAACTCACTATGTAGGTCAGGCTGGCCTTGAACTCAGAGATCCGCCTGCCTCTGCTTCCCAAATGCTGGGATTAAAGGCGTGCACCACCACACCCAGCTATGGTTGCACTTTTTAAAAAATTTATTATTTTTTGTGTATGAGTGTATTGCCTGCTTGTGTGTAAATGCACCTGTGTCTTGCAGTACCCTCAGAGGTCAGAAGACAGTGTCAGATCCCTGGGAAATGGAGTTATGGATGGCTGTTAGCCACCATGTGGGTGCTGGGAATTGAACCTGGGTCCTCTGCAAGAGCAGTCAGTCGTCTTAACCACTGAGCCATCTCTCCAGCCCTGTGTTTGCACTTTTAATTAGCAAAAAGACTATCAGTCCTCAGAAAGACTCTTGTTCCTAGAAATAAAATGCTTTGAAAATGTGATAGAAGTACTCCCCAACTCTTTTATCTGATCAACAAAAATCTTTAATCTGGCCAACAAAAATTGCTACTTCTCAATTATAAGAAACAGTTCTACAATTCATTTTTTGAAAATGCTTTTTTTTATTTACAGTAAATGAAGCTATGCTGTACAACAATAATGGGACTTATACTTTTTATAAGACTGGATGGGTACCATGGCAATAATAATGTGTTGGCTTCTATGTCTACTGTTATTTAGTTAAACTATTAATATGATCACATGATTTTTTTAATGTATTCATTCTATCAGAAGCCTCAGTGAACAATGCAAGTTCCAGGATTATTTTGTGAATTGAAAACATAGAACTTTATACAGCAAATGAATAATACATAATGCAAATGGCCTTACACTCAATGAAACAGAAATGTTAGGCCCATTCTTTCTACATTTCTTATAAAACATGAAACCAGTGTCAACCTGACACCATTGTTTCAGTGGCAATTACACAGTTAAAGAAAAGATAGCTGTCCAACCAAAAGTATGCTTCATACTTTCACATGAAAGCCTTCTATTTTTTTTTTTTTTCTTCTATGTTTGAGACCGAATCCTGGACCTCCAGCAGAGGAGGCAAGTGCTCGCCCTCTGAATCACATCCACAGCCCTATTTTAATCATTCTATTACTATGTACATAAGAAAAGAGCAAAAAATAGGAACGCTTTACTTAAAAGACCAGCTCTATAAAACAGCAAATCCACCAAAAGAACCAGTGATGCTTTGATTATAAAGCCAGCTGTCCAGCAGTCATACAGGGCCACACCCACCATTGTGACATGCCTGCCCCAAGCCCTCACATACCTCAATACTCAGAAAGGAGATGAGAGCAAAGCTAGGCCATATCTGCTTTTAAGCCCTGTCTCCGTATTTGCCAGAGGTCAGTAATTCCCTTGATTTCACCTAGAGAAGAATGTTGGGTTTTATATATTTATTTATAATACATATATAAAATATTTCTTCAGAGTTTAGACTTTAGAACCACCCTCAAAATTAAGACATTGTGAAATCTGACTTATCCATAAGAATCTGCTTAATAAAAATCCCTTTATGTTTCTTATCCTGACAGAATTATAAGGCTACAATAGATATAATCAGATGGTAGTAGTATGCTGGAAACAAAGCATTTAATATAAATCTTGCAAAGGAACACCTCAAAGGGAAGCTATTTTTAAGCCATTGTTTTACAGTCCTGAACATAAATGGTAAGAAGTACATCGCATCTCTAGACCTGGGTGTGCCCAGTCCTCATTTACCTCATAGACAAATTCCACCAGTGTCATCATCACTCTCAGACTGCACTGCTGACAGTAATTACTCTCCATGTGTGAAGCTGTGGCTGAGGACACTGATGCGTTACAAGTGGCCAGCCATTCCCACACTGCCAGCATTGGAAGATTGCTCTTTGATTTATGACTCTAGCCTTTGCTTGCAGAACTGGAAGCAGTTTGCAACTCCATTTGGTAGACTTGACATTGGCCTGAAGCTTTTATTCCTAGTCACTCATCTCTGCACTTGACACTCCAGACTGGTGTGTCTGGTTCTATAGCCTCTCAGCAAAAACAGCTCAGGCTTGTGTCTGACGTTTCTCTTCAGAGAAACCTGGAGACATTTCTTGAATTTCTCCTGCCTGATGTTGCCCCCTTCAGCTCACTGCACAATAGCTTCCCGGAATTCTACAGTTCTCCACTATTCACAAAGTGAAATGACTGACACAGTACAGAAAGACTGGATAATTTCCAAATCTTATTGCTAATAATCACATCACTCACTTTGGGGCAGGGATCAATAACAACCAAGAACCACATGTCCTGACTTTTCAGGAACAGCCTTGGTTTTTACTTTTTATCCCATGTAATTATTCACAGTGCCTTCTTTTTGCTCTTAAAAATGACCCGATTTGCATAACAAATTATACAGTTGCCCTATTTATAATCCACCTGCCCATTTATTGTATGATTACTCTATGAGAACTGCTAAGAAGTCTTTTCCTATGAATGCCTGTAAGAAATCAGCTAGATTCATCATTTCCCTTCAAACAGGACCAAACTAAAATTATTCTGTGGATGATTACCTATTGCATTCCCATGGTTCTTTATACATTGCTTAACAGAAGCTTTGTTATCAAGAGTTCTTATAGTCACCTAAATCATTTTTCTGAGTTAAGATAACTAAAATTTAAATGGTTTTTTTAAATATACTATTAATTTCCTTGAAACCAGCTAAATCATTTTTGTACTTTTCCAAGACACAGATAGTAGATACCCAGTATGGACTAAGAGTCACTTTACTCATTCTAAATATTATATTGTATACAGATACATACTCTTGTTTCCTTACTGGTTGTGTTTTGCAAAGCAATTTTGTATTTATTATCCTACTCTGCCCTTATGACTGTTTCTGTAGTAGATAATATTAATTATCTTTATGAAGAAACTGTAAGACTTGGAGTAAAGAAGTTCTCAAAGTCAAAGTCATTCAGGCAGTTGGCAGTCAGGACTGGACTCAGGCCCTCTGTACTTTCTACTCTGCCATTTTCAGTCTCCAGGACACTTCATGTCTCCCAGCAAAACTCCATCTGAGGCATTTTGAATTACTTCAAAATTATGTGATCACTTATTCCTCTGGGACTTTAAGTTTTAACACCTTTATCTTGTTTGCTCTTCTTTGCACCTATGTGTATTTGCTCTTCTTTGCACCTATGTGTATTTGTTGGTTTTCCTACATGCTTATTAAAGTAAGAACACCAAACTGAATCCAGGATTAATCCTTCTTAATGAGATTTCCTGGGTACTTTGAAGAAAAGAAGTAAGCAACTAAACCTATTTGTG